CCACATCCGGTCTCTGCTGTAAACGTCACCGCACAAAAGGGCCTCCTGCCCACTGCTGACTCTCCTGCGCCTACGCTCCCGGCACTGTGGCCCCGTCCTTCTCTTCACCTCCAGCCTCACTAGACGGAACACACTTGAAAATGAGAGGGAACGCAACCAAACAGGGACTCCCGCAGAGCCTTGCCCAGGTCTTTCCTCTCCTTTCCCGTGGGTATTGTGGTTCCCAGGGCCCCGCGTGTGTCCGGGCGGCCCTGCAGCCTGCAGAGGAGGGTGCAGAGGAGTCCACGCTGCTGCAAACCCGCCCCAGAAGGCCTTCTCTGCCACCCGCTCACAAGCTCCAGAGAGCAGATCATTGCCTCGAACCCTGCTAGGCCTCCAGTTTGGCCCGAGCTGCACCTAGGCTACACTGTTCTGTCCCTGCTCCAAACACCCTCTCTGGACAGCGGCCTCCAGGGGCGGAACATCTGGCCTGAGAAGGAATGTTGCCTGTGGAGCCTGGATACTGTGAAGACAGCAGAAGAGTGTGCAGGTGGTCGGGGGTGCGAGAGAGGAGGAGGAAGGTCCAGCCTTCCTTCTGTGGGATTCCCTCTGCGTGGCTAGCAATTCTAATGGCTGCGGATTCTTCAAGCATTGGTAGAGAAGGTCTTATGATGGCTTCTCCATATCCTTTTTCTCTTTTCTACCAAAGCTGACTTCCCTGTAAGTCTTTCTTCTATCAGAACAAAACACATACTCTCCCTTTTCCCTAAAGGAGTCAGTCACCAAGTGGGGTCCTTTCTGCCCCTTGGACTGGAGTTTCAGAAGTGACTCTGGGCGTCCCTGGGACACAGACACTCAAGGGAGGAGGTCAAATGCCCCGAGGACAGTGGGACTGGAGGCTGTGGAAAGAAGGAGGGAAAGGTGACCCAGTTTGCTGTTGACTTAGGCCCCAAGCATCCAGCCTTGTACCCAACATCCCATGGGCCAAAAAGACAGTACTGTTTTGTGTGCCCGAGCTTACCTCCACTCTCAAATACCTATTCTGTGATAGCATTCACATACTCTTTCCTTTGAGGAATTTCCTTACTCCATCTAAATGACTCCAGGGCAACAGCCAATCATGAAACCCTTCTGCCCTCACAGTGGTGGGCATGCAACCCAGAGCTGGCCAATCAGATCCTTCTCCTTGGCATTGTCTCTATGGATACCAGAAAAGAGACGCCACCTTTCCCTCCAGGTTGCTAACCGAAGTTAAACTATTTGCAAGAACTGCCACCCCTTGTATCGAGGTTGCCCATTGGCTGTGAGAGATAAGGAAGCGTGCGCGTGCGTGCGTGTCTGTCTGTCTTGTCTGTCTGTCTGCCTGTCTGTTTTGTCTGACTGTCTGCCTGGTCTGTCTGCCTGTCTGTCTTGTCTGTCTGACTGACTGTCTGCCTGGACCTGGCCCCTTTATTTATCTTTTGGATTGTCATAATGTTTGTTAGAAAGAAAGCTTATTTACGTTGAATTCTCAACACTTCGAATCCTCATGGACTCCTTCCGTCCTCCCGACAATCCTGTGGGGCAGCCGAGGCACAGACTGACCCAGACAGCGTAGAGGAGCGAGGGTTCCCAGTAGAGCCCTGATCCTCAGGTTCTGCAGCAGGTCCGTCCCTGTTGCCAGCTGCCCCTCTCAGACGGGCAGCTCTGGTCTACCCCGGAAGCACGGCTGGCAGGGGTACCTGGAGCTCCGTAGTTGACAGCAGCACATCGCTGCCACGGATACAAGCACGGTTCAGCAAGCTCCACCGGGGAGAATTATTTCACCCCAAACTGTCCCTTCTTCACCCCAAACTGTCCCTTCTTCACCCCACCCCAGTTTGGGGGTTCCTGTTTCCTGAATGCCAAAGGAAACCCCAAAGTGACCAGTCCTCCAAAGGCACTTCAGGCTGTTAGGGACACTGGCCATTGTACAGCAACCTTCAGCAGAAAGAGCTGCACCCTCCAGCCTCCTCCTGCAGAGCCCAGTGTCGTCTGCTCCTGCTTGCAGTTTCCCTGGAAACTTGGCTCCCCAAAGCAACTGCCTCAGCCCTGTCTAGTCCCAGTCACTGCTCTCCCTGTTCACTGGATCCCGTTGCTTCCTGCTACGGCTGCAGCGAGCCCGCAGCTGAGTGGGACCTGGAAAACGTAAATAGGTATTTTTATCACCCAAACATCTGCTGAGAGAAATTAATTTGCACTTGTCACTTGCAAGGCATTTGCAAAGGTGTGCAACACACTCACTCTGTTGTTTAATATTGGTTTTCAACCATTTCTTTTTCTTATTCTTCCACTGCTTTCAAGTTGGGCAAAATAACTGAGTGGGCCTACCCCTCCCTTTCTTATGAAAGTGGACAAATTACTGAAAATTACTATCAAGGGACCTGTATAAATTGTATTTGGCAAGATCAGGTGTGCATGTGCCATAGCCATCAAATCATACATGACTATGATCCCGCTGCAGTGCATAATTGTCTATAAGTACAACTACAAGAAAGTTACAAAGCCAAGCATGATGGTGCACACCTCCCCGCACTGGGGAGAGGCAGGCCCACCAGCCTGGGCTACACATAGCAACCCTGTCAGGAAAAACAAAAAAAGGAAATGAATACAAACAAGGAAGGTACATGTTCAACACACACCACTGGTCGCAGATTTCAACTACCTTGCCGCAGTGGAGCTAAACCTGCAGTGACTCATGGCTGACAGCGAGAACGGCCTGGCCCACTCGGGACATGTGATGAGGAAGCACTCGCCCTGCTAATGCAGAAACCAGTTGGGCTGCTGCGGTGATGTGTGTCAGACTTCCTGGAAGAATGCTAAACCAGAATCTTCAAAATTTGGTCCACCTTGAATTTTGCTTATGGATTTCACTTAGCAAGTTGTCATTAAATAGGTCTTAGAGGTACATAAAGTGAAGATGTTACAGTCTGGATTCAGACTGTCTTCCAAAGACTCAAATGCTCGCTCCCCAGTGAAACCATGTTCAGTTGGGGAGGTTTAGGGGAAGTGATTGATTCTTGAGAGCTCTGACTTCATTCATGGAATCATCTACTGATGGGTTCGTAGTGTGGTGGGCTCTTAGGAGGTGGGACCTTGTTTAAGGGAGTCAGGTTTGGGGGGTCCTATTCTGTCCTCTGCACTTACCACAGACACAGCACCAATGGAGCCCACACAACCACAGACCGTGACTTGTGGAAATGTGAGCAGAATCCATCCTTGCTCCCGTAAGCGGCTCTGCTCTTCCGTCTTTTGTCACAGTGCTGAAGAACTGAGTAGCATATAGGGCATACGGTTTGCCATTAGTTTAGCTCAAAAGAGTACAGGCGAGATTTGCTTTTTCTGAGTCAGTTTCTAGGTCACATGGACCTGAGGTAGAAGGTGCTGGAACATAGCTAAATCATTCTTAGGAATTTTAGACAAGACACAAGACTGAGAACCAGAGATGTCTGTCACTGGCTTTCCACTCTAAGAGTTAGAGTGGAACACTCAGGCACTGACTAAGCATTCCAGCCAGATGGGTTATTGCATAGGTTAGTTTGTCTTGGAAGGTTCTCGTACTTGCTAATTTAAAACAAACAAACAACAATGACCAGAAAAAAAAAAAAGCGTTTTAGAGCAATGAACATTGAGACTGGCAACTCACAAAAGACTGGAAATATTTTAATTGTACCTTAAAAATTAACTGAAGAAAGATCAGGGAGTAGTCTGGCAGACACCCACAACCCTGGCCTCCAAGGGCATTGTACCTGGGCATTTCTACCTTAGAAAACAACACTTGCCATCGTATAACACTTCAGCTCACACATCTGCATGTGCTCCTGTCTCCAGAGAGCTGGTGTCATTTCTGAGGTGACCTGAGGTAATCCGCATCTCTCTGGCCTCGTTTTCCTTCTTCCTCCAACCCTCTCCTCTGCCGCCTTGGGTTTGGATTCCTCCTAACATTTTCCTTTCTCTCTTGTTCATTTTGCTCTTTCTCGGTTTCTGCTTTAACAGTTCTCTTAGCTTTTGCTCAGCCTCAGATAGATCTTTTTAGGGCTAACCAGGGTCCAAGATGTGGCACATCCTGTTCTACTCCAACCTAGACTTGTGGAGTCTGTTCTGTTGTTTTGATAAATATCAAAATATTTATCTTTCCGAGTGAGTTAGGCAGACCTTCCATGGAAAGTCCTTTGTTTCTAGACAGATTCTCGAATCGTGAGTGGGTTTGTGCATTAAAAGCCACTGGTGCATGGGGTGGGTCATCTACCTGTCTAGCCTGGATGAGTCAGCTAGCACAAGCTGCGAAATCTAAAGTTCAAGGTCACGGAGGTTTCTTAGGGCTTCTTTGTGCCCCACCTCTCCAGATTCACAGTGGAAGTCCTGACTACCTCAGAACAGGACCGCACTCAGAGACATGACCTTAGAAGAGGCAAACAAGTTACACAACATTAAAATGAAGTTTAAAATGAAGTCGTACAAGCCCTAATCTAAATGATGGGTCTCTTTCTATACAGGGGAGGTCAAGGACAGCTACACAGAGAGGGAAGATCGGCCACAGGAAGACAGCAGGGAAGAATGGCTACCTGCCAGCCAAGGGAGGAGGCCTGGAGCAGATCTTGACCTCAGAGCTCTCAGGAGGATTCTATCTACATTCTGATCTCTGACTCCTGGCCTTCAAGCCCGAAGGAAAATGTATTCTGTTATAAGTGGCACAGCTTATCGTACAGCATAACAGCCCTAGAAAGCTAGTGGAGGAGCATCAGGGCTCAGCAGACCCAGTGTCCCACTTTGTCATAGAGTTGTCTTAAGAATGAAATGGTCTAAGAGAAAGAACAAACTTCAGAAATAAGGCTGTGATGAAGAGGAAAGAGACTGGTGCTTGTTTCCGAAGAACTCGCTGTATAAGAGCCACCGGAAAAGGAAGGCTCCAAGACTCTAAAGACAGGCAGACGAGCCCGAGTCTGCACAGAATGCATGCAGCAGAGACTTACGGATGGAAGTGTATCTTGAGCAGCAGCAAAACAGCAGGGTCCCCATAGCTCAAGAAGGAAGAAGGGACTTACATGCTAAGCCGGACAGAGGTGGACTGTGACCAATTGGAATGTGCCACGCCTTTCCTGGGTCTGTATGTAGCATGAAAATACTTGGCTCTGTCAATGACTGTGTTTATCCCACAGAGTTTGGAATATGTGCCAGCATCACCTGATGCCCCAAATGGTAGTCATGGCTGGCAAGATGAGTTAGTGGGTGAAGGAACTTGCACCACACCTGACAGGCTGAGCTCAATCTCCAGGACTCACATGGTAGAAAGAAAGAAGCGACTCCCTAAAATTGACCTCTCAACTCCACATGGGTGCCATGCCATGCATGTGCATGCATACACACTCATCACCACATAAATAAATTAGAAATGTAATTTTGAAATGGCAACCAAAACCAAGATGTGTATGGTTGGCTCAAGCTAGGTGCATACTGTGCTCACAGAGTGCTCTTTGATGCCATACTCAAAGTTCCTGCATTTAAAATGGCTTCTCTTCAGGTGTGCCCGAATCCCTTTCCACAGCTTGTTCCTTCTCTCCACAGCATTGATCGTCTTCTAATGGTCTCTGCTGTTGGTTATTTGTCTCTTTCTACTAGGAGGGAAGAAGCTCAGTGAGGTCAAGGCTTGGGGTTTTTAATAGCTGTCTCCTCAGCACTTACCGGCCCAGGAGGGTCCTCACTGGCTGGTCCGTGCTGAGTCCACATTTCATTTCTTCTTTCTTCATTCTTCTCACTTCTTCAGGCCACACTTACCGATCCTCTGGAACCTAGGCCTGCATATAAACATACAGAGAGATAGGGGTGTGGCATGATGTATAACGTGTACTCTGAGGGCTAGTAGTTAAGAGTGGGATCAAAGAACCTGTATTTGCCAATGGCCAGCTATCATTTGGTAAACTGCAGCCAATGAGACCAATGGAGGTGAAGTTTTTTCTTATTCTGAGAACAAATAGAAAGAAACAAATGTGTCATAATTTCTCCTCCCAAGAATGTGCTTCCTTCACATCCAATATAAACGTGGGACATCTTCTCATCTTTACCATGCAAAACACCCACAGGATACACAAGGAACACACAATGTGTGCAGTCTAGGGAACTAACTTGCACACTGTTTCCTGGAGATATATACATCTTCTCCCAAAGGACCCTCCCAGGCCTCTCTGCCCTAGTTCAGACCTCCTCTTCCATTCTTCTACAAGAACATTCCCATCACTCTACTGAGCACACTGCATTTCCATAGTGCTTGTTTTCTCTCCGGCTT